AACCAACATCCATACAAAAAGTGGATATCTCCTTTGGTGTTCGGAAGCCTGTCATATTTGGAACACTTAATGTTAATATTCATATAAAAGAAGTGCGCAACATTGGCACAGTGCATAGCTAAAAAAAACAAACAATTAATGTTATAAAGTGTATATTATATAAAAACGGCTATATAGTGCTATAAGGGTCCAGTATTTTGATGTGTTGCAGTACAAAGGTCTATATAATGACAGTTCAAGTTATATTGGTCTTGAAAAAAAATAGGACGCACTTGGCCAAAATCGACAGCCTACCTAGAGATCGCCGTCTCTAGCCATAGGAAATAAGTGTAGATTGTGGGTAAATACAGATTCATATAGATATTTTATGTAGATCTCTAGTTTTATGTGGCTGACATTTTAATGAGGGTTTGTTTACACAATGTGATGTGTGATCAAACTTGTTAAAATAAAGACTTATAAAACCATGTGACATTTATTAGGGAAAGAATTAGGGTATTAATAACAATCAGCTTCCGAGACCATATGTCACTTCTTCTGTGAGAATCTATGTAAAGATTTTCGAGGATTTTTGGAGTGATCTTAATACAGATTAATTTATTTTACCCAGCTTTGGTATAACTTACCTAACCCTATACACATATTTGATTTTTTTAAATAAAATTGTTTTTTTATCTTCTTTAACGAGTTGTTAAATCGGAAGAACTAAGTCTGAAGTTGTAAAATATATTGCATTAAGTATATCTCTCTCAATAACTGCTCTAAACAATCCTAATCAAAGGTAGATTCAGCGCCTGCAATATTAAAATGTAATCTTAAGGAATAACATAACACTTCATTTTATTGCAGGCGCTAACATTTCAACAGATGGATTTTCTGTATGTTATGGAGTGTAGAGGCAAGGAGAACCAGCTCTTGTGTGGGGGGAAATTGGAAAAGTGTCTCGCTGTATACTAAAAGTAGAGGTCGCTAGCGTACGGAAAAACTACGATAGGAACATGCCTACTTGTTGTAGACGGAGTGAAGTGTGCCGAGTTAACATATTATACCTAATAGGTACTTTTATTGTCTGAAAGTTATTACACGTCTATTTATTGTCTGTAAAACTCATTGCCTATTTCCGCAGCCTAGTACACGTGTCTAATTATTATTTAAGCCCATTTAAATTTATACTAGGCTTCCGCTGCGCCACCTTTATTGAACGCCTTTTTACGGAAAATTTCATACTCAAAGATGGTTCTACTTGCCCCTATACTCCATACTGTGTTTTAGCGAATTACGGATAAGACATTTTTATGCTTGTTTAATTAGAGCTACTTGACTTACAGGTATTGTACTTATCGTCCCAGAAGAAGTCCGCTGTGCAACAGTGATGCTGCAACACTGACAGTCCATTGCCACTAAATAATGGTATTTAGTCTATTATTTAAGGGAAAGCTCGCCGACTCGAAGCAACAAGCGGGTGTATGCTATGGGCTAGAACACCACTATTGCCATTTGCCTTCAAATAGAAAAATATAAATGAGCATGTATAATAAATAAGAAACTTGTGTTCGTGTAATTAGTTAATACTACTCTTGTAAACAATAATTAAACGTTATTTACAAACCTTTATTTTTTTTAATGACAATAAAAAAACATTAATTAAATTAATGTGACTAATACCTAGTTTGTCGTAATTATCCAAGCCTATGTCCATTGCTGGACATAGGCAATGTGTGTGGAATAGGCCTCTTCTTGTCAGAAGGGTTGGCATAGGGTTTGTTTCAAGCTCTCCAAGGAAGGAGGTCTACTGGTGGTCCCAGGAGCTGGCGGACCTCCGTGCGGCCTGTACACGTGCCCGGAGGTCCTACACGCGCAGTCGGCGGCGTCACCGTGGAGACGGTGAGGAGGACCGGCTTCATGAGGAGTACCGAGAGGCGTGGAAAACTCTGAAGGTGGCCATTAGCCGCGCCAAAGAGATAAAGAGAAAGGAGATGCTGGAGGGTCTCGATCGTGACCCCTGGGGTCGCCCTTATCGCGCGGTGCGACAAAAGCTCCGCGCATCGGGCCCCCCCCCTTACGGAGACTCTCCAGCCCAGCTTCCTGCGAGAAGTGGTTGAGGGCCTTTTCCCGCAACGAGCGGAACACACTCCCCCGGCGATGGCCTCCTTGGCCGGAGACGACGGGAAGCACGAGGAGGATGATGTTCCGCCCGTCCGGGGTTCGGAGGTAGGTGCGGCTGTTCTACGGATCCGTTCCAAGAACACCGCCCCTGGGCCAGACGGGGTACCGGCCCGAGTGCTGGCCCTAGCCCTCAACCACATGGCAGACCGCCTCGGGGAGGTGTTCGACGCCAGCTTGGCGTCGGGACGTTTCCCTGAGTGCTGGAAGAGCGGGAAGCTGGTCCTATTAAGGAAGCTTCGGGAAGATTCGGTCGCGGCCTACAGGCCCATCGTGCTGCTGGACGAGGCGGGTAAATTGTTTGAGAGGGTTCTCTCTGCCCGCATCGTCCGGCACCTCTCCGAGGTGGGCCCCGATCTGTCGGACGCCCAATTTGGTTTTCGGGCGGGGCGTTCGACAGTCGACGCTATTTTGCGCCTGAGGGCTGTGACCGAAGAGGTCGTGAGCTGTGGCGGCGTGCTGTTGGCGGTGTCATTGGACATCGCCAACGCATTCAATAGTCTGCCATTCTGCTGCATCAGGGAAGCACTACACTATCATGGGGTGCCAAAGTACCTGAGGCGGCCAGTGGCAGACTATTTAGAGGAGCGTACCATCGTGTACGAGGACCGAGAGGGTAATTTGAGGTGTCAGCCCATGTCGTGCGGTGTTCCACAGGGGTCTGTTCTTGGACCCCTCTTGTGGAACATAGGGTACGACTGGGCCCTTCGAGCCGATTTCCCGCCCGGGCTGGGTGTAATTTGTTACGCAGATGACACTCTGGTGACAGCCCAGGGGGCGAACTTCCAAGAGGCGGCGCGCCTGGCCACAAGGGGAGTCTCCCTGGTGGTCGGGCGCATTGAAGCGCTGGGCTTACGGGTGGCCTTAGATAAGACGGAGGCCCTGTTATTTCATGGGCCCCGTCGTGGTCCACCCCCTGGCGCCTCAATCGTGGTCAACTCGGTCCTCGTACCGGTTCGGGCCCAGATGAAATATCTGGGCCTGATCCTCGACGGGAGGTGGCTCTTCGACGAGCACTTCCAACAGCTTGCTCCAAAGCTGGTCGGCGCTGCGTCTGCCCTAGGGCGACTTTTGCCCAATTTGGGTGGACCCAGCGTCGCGACAAGACGGCTGTACACGGGGGTTGTCCGGTCAATGGCACTATACGGTGCACCGGTGTGGGCGGCGGCTCTGACCGCCCAGAATAGGGCACGCCTCTGGCGCCCTCAGAGGGTAATGGCGGTCAGAGCCATACGCGGTTACCGCACCGTTTCGACGGAGGTGGCGTGCGCGTTGGCCGGAACTCCCCCGTGGGATTTGGAGGCGGAAGTGCTCGCCGAAGTTTATCGGCGAGTGGCTGACTCCCGGGCGGAGAGCGGATTTCGCCCTCCGCCCGAAGACGTGCGCGAGTGGCGCGAAGCCGCTCGCCGAGCCACGATGGCTCGTTGGTCGTTCCGGCTGGAGACTCCACGCGCTGGCTTCGCCGCCGTGGAGGCTCTCCAGCTGGTCATCGCCGAGTGGGCAGGGCGGCAGCACGGGACCCTTACCTTCCGGCTGACGCAGGTGCTTTCCGGGCACGGTTGCTTCGGAAAGTACCTGCACTCGGTCGCTAGGAGGGAACTGAGTCCCGCCTGCCACCACTGCGACTGCAGTGAGGACTCGGCCCAGCACACGCTGGCGGTCTGCCCCGCATGGGCGACGCAGCGCCGGGCCCTCACTGCAGTCATCGGAGTGGATCTCTCGCTGCCGGCCGTAGTACGCTCCATGGCCGGTAGCGACAGTTGTTTTACCGCGGTCGCAACCTTCTGCGAGGAAGTAATCTCGCAGGAGGCGGCGGAGAAGGCCCGGGAGGACGACCTCCACTCGGACCCGATCCGCCGCCGGAGAACCGGGCGGCGGAGGCGCGCCTACCACCGCCTCATGCCGCCCTGAGTGTGGCCGCGGGTGGACGGGGTGGGTTTCCCCTCCACCCGCATTCGTTTGGCCAGCCACGAGGGGGCGGCGTCCGCGTGTGCCGGACGTCGCCTAAAAAGAGAGGAAAATTTTGAGACGGAGCCCGCACCAGGAGCGGGCTGGCGCTAGGAGGGGTCCGGATGTCTTAATAACAGCTGTTCCCGGATCTCTCCTATTACAGGCGCAGAGTGGCACACCGTGTGGTTTTAGTCGGTCCGAGTCCGACACACCACCCCGCCGCAAACCCCGGTGGGGTGACGGTCTGAGGGGATTTCCAAACGTTAAAAAAAAAAAAAAAAAAAAACAAGGGTTTGTTTCAAGCTTTCCTTCACTTTGCAGTGCTGTTGTCCTGCGTAGTTACCTCGCTTAATCGGCTGGGACGCAGTAATTTATATTCTGTTATTGTAATGCTCGAGAAAGAGTCCACTGAACTTAATCGGGAGAGGGCCGATCCCGAGCGTAGAAAACGTCAGCAGCAATATCAGCCGCCGGAGAGCGGCAACGTTGTTATTGGGCCGACTGCAGGAGGAAAGTCTGCAGATTTGGGGACCTGACCTAACCTGAAATCACATGGTCCAGGTCCTCCCTAGAGTCAGAGTTTTTCTACCCCTTCACCGGAATTGATGATTTTTTGAATTGTGAGACGAAAAAGTTTGTCCTTCAATCGGCGATATAATCTATAGTAATTGCAAACTTCAAAAATATTTAGAAATCATTTCTGACTTCAAAACTACAAATTTATTCAACAAAGTAACAAAACTTCTTTTTAACCATTTAGACAACACATTTTTATTTCAAATAAATTACTAGATACATTTGTTGATTAATTTACTTTATTTACACGAGCAAAACAAATCAGACAAACAGTTGAATTTCATTACTATATGTGTATGTACTACATAATTTTAATAACTGTCGATTTTTGGGGTTACATATCTATCATCTCCTGTAAGCTTGCCCTCAGCAATTTGTTTCTCACGTTCTCTGCGAATTGCCTATAAAGAAAATTTCAATATCAACACTGTTAGAAAAATAAAAACAAGAGGAATGAAAAAAATGAATACTTTAAAGGATAGTAAAATAAGAATCAGCACACACCATCAGAGTGGTAAAGCGTGGAGCTTTACCACTCTGATGGTGAGCCTAAAGGTGTGATTCCGAACTCGGCAACAAGCAGCAGTGCTGTTGCCGCAGTGCTGCCACTAAGGTGCTGCCCAGCAGTGCTACCTGCCGCGCTAATTCCGAGCAAGGCGGCAGTGTCGCTCTGTTCGTGGTGATGCGTTGTTGTGTATTCGTTAGTTTACTATGAGTTGACAAGATGTCGATTGATGACCAACTTTTATTTATACTGTTGGAAGAGGAAGAAGATGATGATGATTTGTTGTTGCTTTATGCTAATAGTAAAAGAAAAGCACCAGATTCGTTTTATAAAAGCAGACAACGGGAAGGATGTTACAAGACCCTGAATAAAAACTATTTGATAGGCGATAAAGAAAAAAATTCAGAGAGTACTGTCGTTTAAATAAAAAACAGTTCAGTTTTATTCATAATTTAATGGCTGGCAAAATTAAAGCAAAAGTTTCTCGCAAGGAAGTTATCAACGCTGAAGAAAAATTATTCTTAACATTAAGGTGAGTTAAGTTTATAAAAACCCGTCTGGCCAGCGTGGTATAGTAGGCCAAAAACTTCTTCCTAAGGAGAGGCCTATGTCCAGCAGTGGACTAGTAAATGCTGTTGATGAAGTTTATAAATCTAAAAAGTCTTGGAGACTATCATCGGGCTCATGATTAGATGTTTCTCTTCTGAATCAGAGAAATTCATCCTTTTGTTGTCAATTTACTTGTCAACATTCACGTAGGTACTCTTGCTGCGGCGGCAGACGCGTCACTGACTGGTCTGTCGCGGCGGTAGGGCGACACTGACGCGCAACAGTGCTGCCGCTACATTGCTGCCGCGACATTGCTGCCTAGCTCGGAATGTAATCTCATATAAGCTTATAGAGATTGTATGGGGACCAGTAGTGCCGCGACAGCACTGCTGCGTGCAGCGTAGTTCGGAATCATACCTTAATGCTTAATCAACACATTCTTGGTTGATACAATAAGTCAATTGTGTATGGTGCAGACTCATCATTTTATTAAAAATGTTACAGGCAATATTCTATAGACAGATAAAATTCTAGTTAAGGGTCACAAACTGCTAAAATTAATGTCAATTAACTTTCCAAAAACACTTGTATTCATATAACAGAAAAAAAAATACACATAGTTCAAAAGAAAAAATGGATTTCTAATCATCACCTTTTTATGTTGACAATTATGTTATGATTATGATTTAAGATTTAGGTCTTTAAGGAGATTGTAAAAACAGTTTTTTTAAGAAGCTTACTTTTACCAATATTACTACCTAATGTAAATGAAATATTTACAATTTGCATCAATTTTATTTTACAATTAAATGTATTTTTTTTAAACACTGCATTTATACACAAACAAAAGTGCATGTACTTTTAGTTTTTTAACTGTTATTTATTATTGTACCAATACTTCAATTTTGCCAGCTGGTTTTTGAAAAGAATAATTTCTGCACTAAACAGTATCATAGTAGAAAATCACAATTAACTGTTTTCCCTTTATTTTTTTGAAAGGTGATTTATCAGGCTCTCTGATAATTTTGGCATATTTAAAACATTTTGAAAAATAGCTTTTTTTTAATCAACTTTATATTCGACAAAATTTTATCAGATATTATTGGAGTTAACCAAACAAATGTAATAAATAGTGTCAATAATATTCAATACTACTAAAATTCCATTACTCACAATAGTTTAAAATATCTATAATGAAATAAAATACATACTATAAACCGCTTGAACTGCTTGTTTAGTGTGTGGCACTCATGGTAATCACCAAACAGGGGTGCGCATTTGACCTTTCCACGTTCCAAGCCGTAGGCTTCCAGGCAGTCCATGTATCGGGCTTCCTCCTTCTGACAACGACCCAACATCTGATGGGAAATCATGCCACCAGTCACATCTGTGTACGGTGACCGGAAGAACGGCGAGATTGACATTGTTATTACTGTAACACATCGTAAAATGCTAGTTTTCATTTAGGTTACACAATTACGTAAACAAATAACATCCATTTTAAAATTGTAGATCATCATTTTATGTATAATCCGGTTTCAATTTATCTTTAAATATTTAAAACTGTTGATCTTTATGATACTTCAAACATTTCTGTACCTTTTTAAAATATTTCTTTCTAAAAACCACTTTAGCGAAAACACAATTTGGCAGCTGTGTATGCTTTGACAGATGAAACAAAGATTATTTTAAACTTGCAGTCACGAAACTACAGAAAAATGACAGAATTTTATATTTTTGTGTAATTTACTTCTTTCCATTAAACCTTATTTATTAATTGACAAATTTGGCTTATTCTTACTTATAGACCTACCATAAAAATCAACTTAGACAGTTTCGATTTAAAATCTACCAAGAATAAAGTGGAATGAAATGCATGTGAAATATCACATATTTGTTCAACTTCCTATTGGTAATTTTAGTCAGTCCAATAAGTTTTTTGGTATATGGAGGATGTCTTATCCTTATCCATTTTTATGATAATATCTAAGCGATCAAATCTCTTTGAATCTCAATTTTTAACCGTAGTTCTACTTACAGCTAAGCCTGGGGACTATTTGTTATTAATATTCAAGGAACGATTGCTTTTTGTAGGGAAAGGGAACCACCCAGATAGCGATGGCTTAAAGTGGCAGTGTCGCAACGCAGTGCCCGCAGTAAACACTAACGAATTACGTCCTGCTAGTCAATAGGAAGGTGTATTAGTAATATAGTAGCTCTCTTAAAAAAAGGTTGATTTTGAACCGACGTTTGTTGATTTACATAATCAACAAACGTCGGTTCAAAATCAACCATTTTTCGCGTTGTCGTGACCTTATCTGGTTGTTTTTACCCGCTTGAAAAAGATGGGTTAGTAAACTTGTTAACGAAACGTTTGCCAAAGAAGACCCAAAGTGATGATCGCGTTTTTACTTTTTAGTACTGATACCACTCTCTGGGTGGCAGCACTGGATATAAATGCCAAACAGCTGTTACAGCTGTTTAGGTGTTTAGTAGAGTTCAATGAAAAAAAAGTTGTCCACGTAAAATTAAATAATATTATTAAGATAGTTTAACTTACATAGTTAAAATATTAATAAAATTGTAGTTTCGATTGTCTAGTAAAGTGCCGACAATGGATCAGTGGGTGAGCGAAGGATTGTCGAAGCTTTTAGACTTTCAGGTGCCGGATGATTTAATAACGTAAGTTTATCCTGATCTAAAATAAACTATTTAATTCAACTATAAGTTTATTACTCAAGTTACAATAATAAACAACAACAAATGATATACATATTTGCCTTTTGCTTTTTACAGATATCTTTTATCAATAGAAAACGAAACAGATTTGAATGAGTATATGAAAACTTTGCTCGATTTTGACAATTCCCAACATAAAAGTTTCTTCTTAGAGCTGTGTAAGAGGAAATTTCCCACCAAAGGTATTTAATATTAGTCTTATGTTATTTAATTATATTTATTTAGAATTTTTCTTTCCAATTGCACAACATTTTCAATTCATATGAAACAGTCTTTCACACAAAAATATATTGCTTTGCCGTTCTTCAAGAAATAATTGTCGCAGTATGAATGAAATTCTATAAAAAAGAAAGAGAGAGAAAAAAGCACTAGATAGAAATCAATTGTCAATTAGTTTGTTTTAATCCTTTGTTTAAATTTTAGGAAACTCATTTTCAAAACAACAAAAGAAAAAAACAATAAAAAATAAGCAAACTCAACAACAAGAATTTGTAAACACTGATGTTGAACCAGTAAAACCTCAAACAGAAGCTACCGAGTCAAAGTCTAAGAAGAAGACCAAGTTCGTGAACCTGTACTCACAAGAAGGGAAGAATGCCCAGGTCGTATTGATCAAAGGTATTATATGGAAAATTATTATAAATTATTTAATGTAAATAAATAAATATTAGCTGGCCAAGGAAGAGCGACTCGACTCAACAGATACCACAGACTCACTGGAAACCAATGCTAAGCAATTCTTTTGTTGCTATTTACTGAGTGTGTTAGGTTGCCAATTTTGCCAAGGCCAACAACACATTTGTCACTTCAGTTGCAGGGGTTCATTGGTGATGGTAATCACTTACCTTACATCTGCTTATTTTCCTACCATAAAAAACGTATCCATATACATATACCATATATGTACCATAAAAATCATTAAAACGCATGTAATCCATGCACAATGCATTGTTTACAGGCCGGCACCGCTGTGATTGTCAAGCTGCCAAGCATGAGCTGATCAACAATTGCTTACAGTGTGGACGGATTGTGTGCACGCAGGAGGGGTCTGGACCATGTCTGTTTTGTGGCAACTTGGTAACTTTTATATCAGATAATTTTTATACTAAGATTGTTTTCATCACCATCCATTAACAGCATTCAATAGTTCACTGTGGTCATAAGCCTCTCCTTAGAAAGGAGGCTCCGGCCTACTATACCATACAGGCCAGACGGGTTGGTATAGGAATATTGTTTGGCTTACTCAAATGTAAATCATTTTAAAACAGTACTTTTTTTTAACTTTTGTACTAATTACTTTTGTGTATTTGTCTTTACTTCATTGTCAACAAACTTACAACATAGATTGATTTAGGTGGCGATGGAGGAGTAGGAAATCTAGAATTTAGTTAAAAGTTGAACTTCTTCTTAATTTGGTAAACAATAAAATAACAATATATTAAGGAATTATATTATTTAGGCCTGCGTGAGAGTGTATAACATGATCGAACCTCCATGACCATTGTCTATGTTTGTTTATACATGTGTGAATATGTATATGTATAAATGTTTGTTTGTATACGTGTAAAATCAAACCTGCCGGCGATCGTTTACAACGGATCCGACATACCGATCAGTCCATTTGTCAAAGATCTTGGCTTATGGATTGACTCCAGCCTCACTTGGCAACAGCAGGTTGCAAACGTAAGTCAAAAAGTCACTGGAACCTTGCGATCACTGTATCGGCTAAAAAACTTTCTTCCACATACTACTAAGTTAATGCTTGTACAGGCTTTGATCTTTCCAATCATCGATTATGGTGATGTATGCTATCTCGACCTGAATGCAGATCTACTCAACAAACTTGATCGACTTCTCAATAATTGCATTCGATTCATCTTCAACCTCCGCAAGTATGACCATGTGTCTGCCTATCGATCCCAGCTGTCATGGTTACCTATACGTCAGCGCCGTAGCTTGCGCGCCTTGGCTACCCTTTATTCTCTTCTTAATAATCCTACAGCTCCCACTTATCTCACTTCACAGCTTAAACCGCTATGCTCCAACCATGACAGAGATCTTCGGTCCACTAATAATCATTTACTCTTGAATCCAATCCACACTTCTTCTCTTGTTCATTCTTCATTTGCTGTCCAGTCTATCCTACTATGGAATGCGCTCCCGCTTGAGATCAGGATGTCAGGAAGTCGTGACACGTTCAAAGCTAAAGTCCGCGAATTGTACAGGAAACAGCTAGCAGAAATATCCTCATGATATCGTCACCCAAACTTTATTGTATTTATTATATTCCGTATGTATAATATATTAATAGTTATCTATGTATTCGTCTATCTTTTTCAAATAGTATTATCAAATTAATGTTATATATTCATAGCTTCTCTTCTTATTACATAATATATGTGCACCTGCCATGCCCCTTACTGAACCATTTTAAGGTTGACTGGTAGATAATGCCATGTGGCATTAAGTCTGCCTCGTGCAAACTGTAATGCAGGAAGTGTAAAAATAAATAAATAAATAAAATGTTTCAAGGATAAGAATAAAAAATATAGTAAATACAAAATAAATCTGTTAAATATTATTAACACGGTTCAATTGTCAACATTCCAGGTGTGTACACCAGAAGAACAAAGGGAAATAAATGCTAAGACAAAGAGTGGAGCAAAACTGATGGAGTCACTCATGGAACGTAGTAGACCTAAAGGTTCTGAGGCTGCTATTTTGCATAGAAATAAACTCTTAGAATATGATCGAACCAGGTGAACAACATATGTTTTAAAAATAATTTATATCCATGGTGTCATGAAATAGGAGATACTGCAAAATTTTAAAGTTACATACTTTTTGACAACACACCTACCATCTGATGTCTAATGGGAGCACTGCTTGTGCTCATTGGTCAAATCAAATAGCGCGCGTTTCCCTAGCTTCCTATTACACACTTCCGTGCCTGTTTACTCCCACATATTTCTGAAGAGTGAGAGGCAAGATGATACACATAAAAATAATCAAGGAATATATTGTTACGAGCGGGGTATACAGTAAATTAAAATTGTCATTTAATTACTTTTATTGCACCTGTATTTACAAACACTCACTATTACAAACAAGAAATCACTATAGGGCTCGTTAGTCACACTAGAAATTCGCTTTGATGTTAATTTGCTGTGTCGTAAAACGATACATTGTAGTACAGCTGACACGTTCTGCTTTTGAAGTGCTATCGAAATTACGAGAATTAGCCCTAGTACTCTACAGTACAATCCAGAAAAATAATAATTTGCCAGTATCAGTTACCCGTTACTTGCTGCACCATCTAGTGCTGCAAGTATCAGAATTATTAATCACAATCTCAATAGTTGTGTTTCACGTGATACTAGATGGCGCTGTCCTTCACATTCCATACAACTCTCGAACAATCGAACTATTTAATCCTATGGCGCAACAACATGTTGGCGTACGTAAAAGCTTTCCTTACCCGTTTGGTGACGGGGCGTATTGATAGTACAACATAAAATATTTTTTCTATAAACCATTACAGTGAACGTCGCACCCGCGTGACTGACGATGACAGTGATTACTTTAACGCAGGGAGCGTGTGGCTAAACGCCACTGAGAAGGAGAAACTGGAGAAGTACCAGCAGTCACTGCACGAAAAGAAGCATGCTTCACGACTTAGCAAGAAGATGACCTTTGATTTTGGAGGTGAGCAACATCTCTTTATATGAAGTTATGAATTTGAATGGCTCAAGTGTTACCGCGACTATCGCTATCTACTATCAACTGTAAGCGACTTACAATTAGTATAATAAAAAGTCATAAATATAAACCTCAGGCAAAAGTTCGTGTGGAAAGCGGGAGTCATGTCCCAATACAAAGGGAGGATCCTCCAACCAGGTGAGGTGATCGCGCCTGGCGGGCTGCGACCCATCGGTTGTTTTCGATCATCAACCGTTGTATATATGCTTATCAGCGTAAGCATTATTTATATTAAGATACAGGATTAGCAGTAACTCTGTAGTTTGGTGTGTCTTCGTTAGGTTGCGCTATAGTATGTTTCTTCGTTTCACTATATGTGGAAGTCGCTACACTAGTAATTCTTTATTTTGCACTTATTAGAAAATGGCATTAAATCTTAGAACACATTTATAAATTAATGGTAATATTTAGCAATTGCGAATTTTTAAATTAAATTTTGTCCAAGTAAAGATACTTATAAAGTAAAAAATATTAGTTTAAAACCCAGGTACATTTTTCATCAGGTCGACAAATTGTCGAAGACAAGACAATAGACTATGACGTCGACGAAGAGAAGATTCGTCAAATGACGACCAGCAACAGTAGTAGCAACAGACTGCAGCAACATGAATTGTTTGTTGGCGTTCCCAGTGACAGAGATGTTGCACCAGGGGTTAACGCTCCGCTGTTACAGGTACCATCACTACTAATATTATAAATTCGAAGGTAACTCTGACTGTTATGCTTTCACGGCGAAACCGCTGAACTGATTTTAATTAAATTTGGCATGGAGATACTTTGATCCTTGAGGAAGGGCAAAGTCTACTTTATACTGCGATAACCAACGTACCGGGTGTACGTCCGACGTCCGGGTGCTACATGACGGACAATCACATGACCCGGGTTCTCCCTAGAGCAGGACGCCTAAGGCTGGCCGTCGGGGTGGTTTTTAGTGGAAAAACCACATACTCCTGGCTCCTATATACCCGACGAACCGGAGAGCAGAAGGGATTTTCCACCCTGTCACCAAAAAAAGGAGGGTTGGAGTTCGGCGAAGCAGCCAGCTATATATATATTAAGTATCCTCTTGTAGCTCTAGCAATATAATATACTTCTGCAAAATTTTAAGATGTGAAAGGCACATCTAGTTAGTTAGTTAGTTAGTTTTTTTTGTTTTAAATATCATGAGAGGATTAAACAATGTGCGCTTTTTAATTAATAAATACGATTCACAGTTCGATCAATCAGTTGAAGGGCAAGGATATGCGGCTGCAATGAAAAATAGCGGTAACCCTGGCCAACACGTCCCGAGGGTACAGGATACTGAACTGCAGGAGATGAGTGACACGGGCCGGTGTCTCTCTATGCATCAACCCTGGGCCTCCTTACTTGTGGAAGGAATTAAAATGTAAGTTTTCAGACAACATGCTATCTTCTATAACATGATAAGAGATCGCGTAACGCATATCTAGGTTTGAAAGCATTGAAAAGTAATAAGTTTTTCCCTTTATTGTCTAATATAAAATACATGCATCCTTATGCTTATTTATTATATACCACACAAAGCATTAAGAGTTTATCCGTGATATACCAGACACATCTCGGTTACAATTATATTACATATATAGTTGAGTATCAGCTAGACAGTAAATAGTTTATCAACACAGTTTTACAGTTTTTTTATTCTTCATACTACAGGTTTTGATAGGTATATTGTTCATTATATGGGAAAGCATGTGTTCACACGTCTGCATCCCAAACACATTAATATGTAGTACAGTAGAAATCAAAGAAAATAAAATTCGTAAAAACTTAAGTGTATGTAATACCACAGTAACAAACTTGCATTTGGAACAAACAAATACGATTAAAACATGTGGATCACACATGCCTATTGAATAGGATCTGGTTCAGCTTTTGCAGCAGTTCAGACTTGTGGGTAGCGCGGTTTTTTCACCAGGTTAATAAGAAAATACAAAATATTTTTTTAAAAGATGTAGATGTTCAACACAGAAACAGAGTAAATTAAGCTGGTATAAAGTTATACATGTATGTGTATAATTGTATACTTGGTTTTACTGTTTTGATCTTCTGTCCGAAGGGCTTGCAAATGATCAGAGTACTTCTCTCTGTCTTTGTAAGTTAATTCAGAATATGGCTATTTGCAGTCCTACACCTTGTTTTATATTAGTCTTTAAACAATGTGGTTTTTTTTTGTGTATTTGGGCCTAATCAAAGTATTACTTGGCAATAACTTTTTGAAAAATATTGTTAGTAGGTTTCTCAAATAGAGCATAACTCTTGAGATATTTCCGTTTTTTTTTAAATTTCCACTTAAAACAATTTTCAATTTTTATCAGGTTTAAAAATAAATAAATCTGTAACTAAATAAATTTTGGCCAATTTTTTAGAGTAATTTATGTATTGACTAAAGAAATTAATGTATTCAATTCTGAAATATATAAAACCATTCCTAGTGACCTTAAAATATACATTAGATTTTATGGGTACTATAATCTAAAATACATTAATAAATCTGTGTTATATAGACACGGTAGGTACATGTAATTACAAAAAAGACAATTGTACAGTTAGCCCTGATAATTGTTGACTGTACTTCAGGGGGGAGAGTGGGGGATTATAGATTCCGATTTATTTAGTCTGCTTCAAATGTAAAACAATAAATAGATATTTTATTTGACTTCGTTGCTACACAACAGCTCAAGTTATTATCTTAAGGATTGTAAATTATGTTGTTAAGTATACCCATTATATAATCTAACAGGCAATTATTATTTCATAGACAGTTTGTTTTTGTGAAATCTTCACAAATCGATAGCACAGCACTATTTTTTATTTATGGTTATGTTCTCGAATAAAAACAGAAAAAAAGAATAGAAATCTCTTATTATTATTTTTTTATTTGGCAACTACTGTCTTTTTGCAACTCGATTTCCAAATAATATACCTAAGTATTGTACTTTAATATAAAGAGAAATAGTGTATAAACGAGTATAGGTCATAAGGACTTGCCTACTACAATTCATGTGAATTGTTACCTTAATTTGCGTGTCAGATATGATAAAAACACCATGCGTACCTTATGACGTCACTCTTAATTACAATCCGCTTGAACTAGATGGCGCCATGTTCGTGACGTCACTCATTGAGTTGCGGTGTTAAGAGTTTCCGTAACCGAATGACGTGACGCGTGGACGCCAGTTTTATTAAGACCTTACTTCATAGGATCATTTCTATAGTAAGCTCTTCCCGAGACTTTCACACTATGTGAGTCCTCGCAAGCCACGATGAGGAGACGTGGCGCGGCACCCTGAGCGTGAGGCGGGCCTTAGTAGATTTACTAAGAGTCCTCGATGATCGTTCGCTCCCCTTCGCGGGGGAGAGTGGGGTGTTGTCGCTGTCCCATGAGTGGTTCCCATTTGAAAATGATATGAATTCATAGAAAAAAAACAGCTTTGTTTGATGGTTTTATTTTTCATGATGATGATTTAATAATGGAAATAAAGTTTATTATAAATCTGTCTTATATTATACAATAATTAGGAGTATCATCAGTACACATGGTCGTCTTTGAAATATATAAATATTTTGAAGTGAATTAAAATTAATAACACAAAACAAACTGTTCTAAAGTATTGGTTTTTAACACAAAAACAAATTAAATGAAAATAAGTTAGTCAAGCACATACTCAGCCCTAGATGTAAGTAAATTTTAGACATTTTTTCTGAATTTTAAGTGATTGAATTCTAATAAATATGAAAAGCGGTCCTAGTAACCTTAAAATATGCTTTAGATTTTTTTGGTGATATAATCTGCACAGTTAATACATTATTGTTGTATTATAGAAATGTTACATGTTATTATATATTCAGATTACAAGCTAAGGCGTGCAATTGTACAGCTACCATTAACCTTGATAATTGTTGACTCCAGCATGGGGGAGAATGGGCAATCACTGCTGCTTTAAATTTATAAAAATAAATATTTTATTTAATTTCGTAGTTTTACAACAACTCAAGTTATTTTCTTAAGGATTATAAATTATGTGGTGAGGTACCTATAGTATAATTCTACAGGAGACAATTCAAGACGGCATAGTTTGTGTTTGTTAATCTTTTTTTGTGAAATCTTGACAAATGAATAGCATAGCACTCTTTTTCAAAAGACTATTTATTTATACTATTGTTATTATTGCTAATATTATACGCTCTCAAATAACAACAGAAAAATAATAACAGAAATCTCATATCTCGTATGTTTATATATGTTTTACTCAGCTAGCTTAAACTGAAACCTTTCTGCAAGAATTATATTCAAATATTTTTAAATAATATGCTTAACTATTGTACTTTAATACAAAGTGATTATTATGAATGAAACTATAATTACTATTTCGTGGGGAATGTTTTTATTTTGTGTTAAGTTTAGTTACAACTAAGAAAAACATCTATGATAAGCTCCCACACGTTTGAAGGTCAATCGATTTATAAACAAGTCAAGGTCGCCATTACCATGCAAATGTATGATAACCTCCATTTGCTTGTAAGATATGACGAAACACTATGTGCAATGTTGTGACGTCACTCTTAGTTACGACCCATTTGTACTAGGTGGCGCTACGTACGTGACGTCATTCACTGAGTTGCGGTGTTAAGAGTCTCCGTAAGCGAATGACCTGGCGTGTGGCCGCCAAATTTGTTAAGACCTTACTTCATAGGATCATTTCTATAGTAAGCTCTTCCCGAGACTTTCACACTATGTGAGTCCTCGCAAGCCACGATGAGGAGACGTGGCGCGGCACCCTGAGCGTGAGGCGGGCCTTAGTAGATTTACTATGAGTCCTCGATGATCGTTCGCTCCCCTTCGCGGGGGAGAGTGGGGTGTTGTCGCTGTCTGAGTGGTTCTATGATTATTAATTATACTCTGGGTTAAAACCTAAGTTTTATCTAGTAATTTATTTTTGTATTCTGAAACGATTTTGTCTTTGCAATAAATGAATGGAATCACTCGTGTAACGATTCAAATATTGATCTCAACTGAGTAGACTAAGATGCGATTTTCATAGTACAAATGGACTCATAAGGATATTATTTTAAGATTGACACCTGAAATCTATTAATACCACTACTATTTTCGGCCACGGCGACCGATTTCAACTCCGTTCAAATTGTCGTTGGTGTGCTCGTGAGTGGTTAATCTAGACGATCTTATTGATAAATGTACGCGCACATTGCGAGCAATGTAAGCACATTTCAGTCAGTGTAAGTGACAGCACAAGGTGGGCGTGCTTTCATTTTTTTGCTTCGAGCATTCAGTTCAGAGCAGCGATTGTCGTCAATATCTTCGACTCTGGTTTTCACCAAAGACTTCCATTCAGATCGTTGAGCAGCTGATTGCTCTCACGCATATCGCCCTTCTTCATGTGGCGCTTAAGAACATCTTTATACCCGGGGAGTTGTCCTCCATACTTACGCTTGCCCTCCTCAAGTTCCGAGAAAAAGATGCACTTTTCGTATGTTTTTCTGCCATTCTATAACTCCCCATCTATAACTTTACATAGTCTACAAAAACTGTTCATAAATAAAAAAAGTCGAAGGATATCATTTTATTATTATGTAATCTATATAAATAAAAATGAATAGCCAAGTGTTGCTTAGCGCAAAAATCGAAAACGGCTTGAAAAGGGTAGGTTCTTACGTAGATAAAGAAACTTAAAAATTACGAGGAAAATTGTTAAAGTAACACAGATTTCTTTAATTAAAAAGATTTACACTTCTTTTTCCATATAAACCACAAAGTAAATTAAAACATCTGGCCCTAGCTGTCAAAAGGCTCATCAGAATTGTCTTTTATATACCTTCAAGTTGATTAGCTTACCGCTGTATATTAATCCATGCTTGCTCAAAAAAAACCGGTTGCGATAATGATTGTTTGTGTATTTTTCTCTTTCAAGGCACGAGGGTCGAACCTGGTACTCGAGCCATCGAGGTCGTTTGTGGATCGCGTCTACCGTGAAACCGGCTGATCCGGACGTCGTTAGAGCGATCGAAAATCAATACAGGGTGTTGTATCCAGGTCAATAATATTTTATTTATTTTTCTTTATATCAAATACTATGGCCAAGTAAATTAATGTTAGTAAATTAAAGGTCATTCAGATAATACTTTTATTCTAAACTAACGTCTAAAGCCTCTCGCTAGGCCTACTTTTTGAGTTTGTTAAGAAATGTATTCTGACTATCCGTCTGGTGACGGATTAAAAATACAGAATGACACCACCCCTATTCATCACGTGGTTGTCGTAAGAGCTGACTTACTGAGGGAGCAAATTACGCAGGACAACAGCACTGCAAAAAGAAGGAAAACTTCACACAAACCCTCTACCTACCCGTCTGGCCAGCATGGTATAGTAGGCCAAAATCTCTATTCTAAGGAGAGGCCTATGTCAAGCAGTGGACTATTAAGGGCTGTTGATGTGATGATATTCTGACACTATATAAAAATAAAATATATGTCTAATAAGATAACTTAAGACCTGTCACATAATTTTGACTTTGACGAAAAAAATTTTTAAATGCAAATTACTGACAACCTTTTTCTGTTCTTTGTCTCCACTTCTGATACATATATAGACTAACAAAATACAAAGCCAGCCCTTCGCCAATATCGCCAATATCGCGCTCCTGGTGGGCGATTTTTCTTTGTTTCTTCTTTCTCTCAATATATTGTTGTGTAACGTTAGTGTGTAAGAATTTTTTATTTATTTATAGAGACGGAGATCAAGTTCCCATCATTCTATCCGACCGGGTGTCTCCTCGGATGCGTCAATGTGGATGATTGTTTGCCGCAGGAGGAGTATCAGAAAATGTTAGTATATCATTATTTATTGCCATAAGATATAGTCTAGCGGGTTACATATTACATTCTTATTTGATTTTCTATTTTTTTTTGTTTATTTGCTTAAACTAAAGTAATATCTTATAAAAAATAATTTTCAAAAGTGATTTTGCCTTTAGATTTTTTCTTTTTGGAATTGATTAATTTTAATTATTCCTTGTTTTAATTGTCATAAATAATCATGTGCTTCTTAACTTGTTTCTTAGTGAAACAAGTCTTGTCAAGTAAACACCTTCAAATTAATTTTGGGTTAATACCTTAGTTCTAAAGGAAAGTTTCAAGAAGTAATCAGTAATAAAGGATGAAATAGTTAATATTTTATTGAGCACACATTGTTCTCATAAAGTATTAGCTAATAAGAATACAACACAAGACGAAACCTTTACAGTTACTATTAACCCTAATAATTTTGACTCCTTGACGGGGGGAGAGTGGGGTATTAATCCGTTTTAATTCAAATTAATTAATTCATTATTTTCATTGTATTCATCTTATGGATTGCATATTATATTGTTGCATAACATCTTTCATGTATCAGTTAACTCATAATATAATAGACATAGTTTGTTAATGTTTTTGAAATCCCCGTTACAAATAAATGGGCCGGCTACTTTTTAAATGAATATAAAGCCGAAGAAAGATTCTTTAAAATATACGATTTATTTTTAATACAAATGATCCTTGCAAGCTTTGTCCAAACATTAACTCAGTGTTAAGGTGATTGGTCAAACCTTTTATGATGTTTTGAAAACGCTGCATTTTTTTTAAACTTGTAAAATTGAAGACGCATTTTATTCGGCTGCTTTATGACATTAATCGAAATCTATATGCGACATTGATGGTCATCAGCAACAGCCTTTAATAGTCCACTACTGGATATAGGCTTCTCCTGAGAACGGGTTGGTAGGGTTTGTTTCAAGTTTTACTTTCAGTGCTGTTGTCCTTTAAGTTTGCTCCTTTAGTCGGCATTAATAGTAAAATATTTCGAAAACTAATAATTTGTAATTAATTACAAAAAATAGTATGTCGTTGTGAAAACTTTTAGATTTTTGTTTTTAATTTAGGTCACAATTAAGAAAAAATAAAACTACCAGCTTATACAGAATTTGTGACCTAACTAGTGTATAAACTAGTATAGGGTACAGGTACTTCTTTACCACGCACATGAATTGTAACCTTAACTTGCGTGTCAGATAATTATGATAAAAAAAAATACCACGAGTACTTTGTGACGTCATTTTTAGTTACAATTCCCTTGAACTAGGTGGCGCCATGTTCGTGACGTCACTCTTTGAGTTGCGTTGTTAAGAGTCTCCGTAAGCGAATGACCTGGCGCGTGGCCGCCAAATTTGTCAAGACCTTACTTCATAGGATCATTTCTATAGTAAGCTCTTCCCGAGACTTTCACACTATGTGAGTCCTCGCAAGCCACGATGAGGAGACGTGGCGCGGCACCCTGAGCGTGAGGCGGGCCTTAGTAGATTTACTAGGAGTCCTCGATGATCGTTCGCTCCCCTTCGCGGGGGAGAGTGGGGTGTTGTCGCTGTCTGAGTGGTTTTAAATTAATGACTTTATTAACAGCGAAGACCCAAATGGGTTACCTTTATTGTTATCATGATAATCACTTAAAAATCATTATGTATTTCGTCTCTGCAGTTAATAAATGGATCTGTTTAGCACTTATTACCATTATGTTACCACATTTCTGTTAAATAAATGTATTTTAATATAGAGTATTAATTTGAGTAAGGGTAGTTGGTTAAGGTAAGTTGTAAGTTATCACCAGAAAACGGTTATTATCTCGCTAACTGTGTATGTATGACTATTTTTTTTTAGAAAAGTGCTTCCTTTGTATAATCAGTGGTTTTTGATATGTTATGTTCTAGACATCCGAACGGTGATAGTGACAGCCCTTACGTGTTCATATGTTCGAACCCCATCAGTTTGAGGCTGCGCTTTCCCGTTAAAGGACAACACAAAATATGTAAGTGTCGGTAGTTATTTATTACATTGTTTACTTTGTGTTTGTTTGTTTTTAGCTTTCATAGTACAAGTTGCTGCTGCTTAGTTTGAAACTAGATGGCGTTTTGTGTTAGATGTCCGAAATATTATTATTTATTATTACGTTATCAGTGACGTTATGTACCGTGTTGAAGCCCCAGTCCTAGAAGCCTCTCCAATCACCAGTCATTGTCCCTTTTGATTAGTCCTCCTTATTAGAGACTTGTGATATCCTTTACCCTATACCTTTTTCTTACTCCAATTAAGTCTGAAAGCGATTAAATTCTCAAAAGGTGATAAAGTCATGCAGGCATCCGGCTATAAAAGTAATTAAGCCATTTTTTTTTGGAATGTTGAAGCTTGCGCCGACTCCATTTTTTGAAAAGAATCAGAAAATGAAGATTATTTGCTTCACTGGTAAGAATAAAGTGATATATTGAGTTGGTGATTTCAGTTCCTTCAATATCTCGATCACATATTGTTTTAAAGAAGTTTTTTTTTTAATTTCTGAACTTGAACATATTGTTTAAAAGCTGCAATATTTCTGCACTTCATTTGCCTGTTTTCATGATTTAAAACAATGCCTACAAGGAAGACTGTCAGGTAATAATATTTATAATAATAGATTTGAATATTCTCCTATTTCCTAAATCTAATTTAGATAAATGGCTAATTTCTCTGCCAGAGGATTCCAAATTTAAAAAGGAAAGCCGTTTATTGGCAGGTTTATATAATAAACCTGCTAATAAACGGTAAATAACAGATGTTATCAAGAATTTAATTTAGAAGTTTAGCTTTTAAATAAAAGTAGAAGAAAGATATTAGGATAGGCAAGAGTGCACCAGTAGTACTTGTCTAGAAAGTTTAGTTGTAGAAGAGTGTGACCTTGTTTTATTTATAACCTCCCAGCGGTACACGAAATATTATAATTACCCAATTAAGAAAACTTCTTTTGTTTTTAGATTCGTTAGACAAGATGATTCACCAAGCAGCCGTTAAGTGTATTCAGAAGATGTCCAAAATACAATCAGAAGAAGCACTCGCAGCATAACAGGTTATCTGAATGACATGTGCATTTATATTTAATAAAACATGTTGTTTGTTAAGAAAACGTTTTTTTTACAGCATTTATTAATTAAAGGTATAAATAGCTTTTTTAGATTCAATCTTTACTTCATTCTTTCTTCTATCTATACTCACAAATTACTAAGTTTATAAGACCGTGGCCTCAACTGTGGGCGAGAGGGGGGGAGCGATGAATATAGTATTATGATTAATACGTCTTTACATCCCACATTAAATGAAAACCTCAATATGCATGTCAGATATGACAAAAAAACTATGAGTACCTTATGACGTCACTCGTAGTTACAATCTTTTTGAACTAGATGGCGCCACGTCCGTGACGTCACTCGTTGAGTTGCGTTGTTAAGAGTCTCCGTAAGCGAATGACCTGGCGTGTGGCCGCCAAATTTGCTAAGACCTTACTTCATAGGATCATTTCTATAGTAAGCTCTTCCCGAGACTTTCACACTATGTGAGTCCTCGCAAGCTACGATGATGAGACGTGGCGCGGCACCCTGAGCGTGAGGCGGGCCTTGGTAGTAATTACTAGGAGCCTTCGATGATCGTTCGCTCCTCTTCACGGAGGAGAGTGGGGTGTTGTCGCTGTCTGAGTGGTTTAGTTTATTAATTTAATAATCCTGTGCAAATATTTGCGACTCGTGTAAGAAATTGCTGCAATTATTGTGAAATGTGTATTTTATAAATCATATATTACATGTCTCGACGCGAAAAGTCGTCTCTAAACGTTTTTTTATTCACAATGCGCCGTTGGCTGAATGTTATTTTCGCGGAATTATATTCAAGCCGTTTTTTTCTCAGGAGAAGAGCACTGCAATCGATTGTCATTTAGTAAAAATAAACTAAAAATCATCAAACAATTTTTTAGTAGATTTTTAAGGTTCCGTACCTCAAAAGGTAAAAAAGAACCCTTATAAGATCACTTTCTTGTCCGTGTGTCACCACCGATTTTCTCAGGAATGGGTAGACCTATTAACTTGAAATTTATACCAGATACTGAGGTCTATGGTCCCTATTAGGTGTATAAAAATCAAGGTCCTGAGTCAACACGATAAAAAGATATGAGCAAATTTGTAAGTACCAAAATTTACCTTAATTTTCAACTTTTTTATTTTTCAGAATTTTCTCTTTACTTGTGCTGTTAAAACCTTGCTTTTAATCAAAATTCTCAATTTTATGTCAACCGGAAGTACCCTATAGGTTTTGGGTCGAAAACCTATATGGTAGTTCCCGTTGACCTAGAATCATGAAATTTGGCAAAAAGAAAGGAATAATGCCAAAAAATAAAAATAGTTGAAAATTAAGATAAATTTTGGTACTTACAAATTTTCGCGAAAATCTATGTAAAATCTGGGTAGGTTCTTAACGAGTTAGACTCGTACCTGACCGTTTTTTTTTTTTTTATTACACATCCATCTATATATGAGTCACTTAACTTCAAACTCAGATAAATGAGAATTTTCAAGATTTTGGTATCAAAAGAAAGGGTAAAAACAAGCTTTGTAACAATTGACTCCGTTGTGTATACAGCAGCAAGGATTTTGAGAAAAACTCAGTTGACGTTAATTCTACGACAATAACACAGTAGTCTGCCGCTTTTTATTGTTTATTTTTAATAACTAGCCAGCTAGCTGAGCTGAGTTTTTTTCAAAAATAGATAAATCTCATTCACATTACATCACATCAACAGCCTATAATAGTCCACTGCTGGACATAGGCCTCTCCTTAGAAAGATTGGATTTACCTTCATTCAATTATATTAAATGAAGGTAAAACCAATCTAAACATTAATTTTTCTAAACAATGGATGGTTTTCAAAATGAATTAGCTGAACTGTATGACAACAGTTTAGCTAATTCATTTTAAAAACCAGAAATAAAAAAAAAGTAATGAAATGAGTAACTAGCAAAAATGAGGCTTAATCAGTAATTTAAGATAAATAGATAAATCAATTAAATCAAAAAAGTGTCGTATATGAAAAAAATATATTTATTCTATTATTGTATAGGTACCACATTCTCTTGGCGAAATTTTTTAGTTTACGACATACATTTTTTAGTTTACGACACCATTTTAACAACTGTACATCGAAATTTTGAAAAACAGTGGTACACAAAAGTGGCACCAGAAGTAATTAGCTGTGCAGGGCAACGGCACCGAACGTTACGATACGACCTTCATACCTTCAAGAAATGAGCGTACTCCTTCCCCAAAGGCCGGTAATGAGTTTGTGACCCCTGAGATGCAGGCCTTTATTGGCGGTGGTAGTCACTTTCCATCAGATGACCCGGTTGCTCGTCTGCCCCCTCTCCCAAAAAAAAAAACCTTAAATGCGCTTGAAGGCTGGCATCATCGGATTAATGTCCGGTTACCAAAAAGATGCAGTCTGTATTTCATTTTTAACCCGTTCCACAGAGCGCAAAGAGTGTTTTTGTATGCTTTTAATAAATTACTTACCCGATTCTGTAGTGTTGCCGCGGCTCCGCCCGCGTGTATGTTGGTTATCGCGGTGAAAATTAGCCTATGTTACTCGCTGATAATGAATTGGTAAAGAATTTTTTTTAAATCGGTTTAATGGTTGGGTAACAAACATATTTGGGTAACAAACACTTTCACTTTTATAAGTATGAAAATTATTGTGTATTTAATGTTATATATTCTCTATTTATTATTTTAAAATTTATGCATATAGAAATCACTGCTACAAATTTAAATACTAAAATTAAATTTATAAAGATTGAATTATTTTGCTTCCCATACGAGATTTACGGTATTCCTTAACCTGCCCTTTTCTCTACCCTAAGGTTCTTTCGTTCTATGCCCCGTCTCAATAGGATTATATTTCCAAGGAGGGATGGAGTCAGGCAGGGCATGAAATTTAACAAAATTCTTTGCAATATTTAATTATGCGCCGCCTACAAATAAAACTGGTAGAGAACAGGATAGGTCAGAGCGCACCAATAATACTTGTCTAGACAATTAAGTTGAAAAGAATATAATATTTTAACATTTAAAAAAAACTAATTACTCAGAGATTCAAAAAATGATTCAGAAAATGTCCTAAATGCAACCTGAGGAAGCACTCGCATCATAACAGGTTATCTGAATACCACGTGTGATATTTATTACTATTCAATAAAACAAGTAATTAGTTCAGAAAACATTTTATTTACACCATTTATTAACTAGGAGTATAAATAGTTTTTATCCATTCATTCTTTACATGCACTCACACATACATCGTTACTGAGCTCGTAAGACCGTGTCCTCAACCACAGCGATAGCGGGGCGGATGCGATAGCCTGGTATTCTCTTCAAGTGATGCGTTATTTGTTTTTAAGCAATCGCTCACTGTTGTTCCTTCTGTATCATCGCTGTAGTAGTGGACACGGCTTTATAATATGTAGTATGATCTACTTATTGCTATAATAGAATACTCCTACAACGGTTAATACCTGATGTAGTGACGTGATTAGGAGATTAAGATAAAATAAGTGATTATTTTCTTCATAATTTCCTTCAGTAGTAGGAAAAAAAAACTTCACTGCTTTAGTTAGGTACTTGTAGACCGCATTTCGATAAATAAGGATTAATTCATTAACTGGAGACCGCGGCCGATCAATGATGAATTTAATCAATTAAAAACGGCACACTTAACTTAATTATGTAATGTCAATGGTATTTCGTTTAATTTAACTTAAGGTTTAATTTCAAATATACGGCCGTAATTTTCGTTTGTGTTAATCAAAGTTCTTGCATTGTAATTTTGTAATAGTGTCCTTTGAAGTTTTATTTAAGAAGAAAATTATACTTTAAAATTTCCAGACAATGCAAGACAAATTTTATATGTAATTGAAACTTTTGTTTTATTATTACGTTAACTAGTTTTTTTTTCCCTGAGAATGATTCCTGAAGATTTGTAGTCTTTATCTATACACATTTTAATGACATTAGTAGAAGAATTTGCGATTGGAATTAATACCGATTCTTACAAGTGTAAATAGGTCAAACTTCTAATAAAAACAAAATATTTGCATTGTACGGGAGTTCTATCGCAACACGATCATATCATTTTACAAGTTAACTTACATCTAAATGAGCACCAAGAGAGAACAATGATAGTCCCAGAGTTTAATATTTTAACATAAATATTCTTAACTAGAATTAGTTCTTGCAAATTACGAACACGATAATGAACAGTGACACAATTTATTATTATCATATAACTTCCGTCACGTGATATCGCTATTTACTAGAACTTAAAAGATGCCTCAACTTCTTTAACAGCTTCATGAGAAATTGATAATTGACTGAAGTCTTGCTTCAATTTGTACTTAAAAATATATCCAATCAGAAAGAAAAAGAAATGATCAGAGTTTATTTCACTTGACTTGATCGTCACGGTGTCCGCGTTCGGCGCTACGATTGGCCCGGGCTGAAATCGCCACCAATCGCAACGCTAAACAAGCTCGCCGTCGAGAGCGAGTCGATGTGAAATAAACTTGCACTCAGCCCTCTGTTTCAAGCTTTGAAATATGTAAATTTGATTGAAATGAAGCCAATGCAAACTACAAGATGATAGATGTTCATGTTATCACACGGCAATATCAGATGAAGTCGGTGAGTATTTATCTTTATACTTATCTAGTGTTATAACAAGACTACTAAATATTATCGTTTAGTAGTGCCAAGCCTAACTTCTATCTTTTATGCAGACAATGTTAGTAGCGACCTATAGAAAAGCTTTGGCAGTGAAACAAGATTTGGTTCGTGGAACTAACTAAAAACGAAACGTTACGATTCCTTTTTTTGGTTCAGTTGTGGAAAGAACGCCTCAATCGGCAGGATCGGATCGTCTGTAGCTATCGTAAAGTAATTCGGTATTCGTCTGCTATTCGAAGATACGGTTTTGAACAAACCCGTATTGTTGTAATCTTTACTTGCTGCCAAAGTTAAATCCGACACCCTTTTAGAATGTTCGAACAAATTTTCTAGAGGTTCAAGATGTTTTTTGTCAGCGATTTTCATTATTGCACTTTCCGATCGTGCTCTCTCTGACGTTATATCATATTTTTCATTTACACCATTTTCCGTTATAGTAATGTCTTGAACAGATTCAGCTACCTCGGAATCCTTCACCGCTTTTCTCAAAGGCCTTTTGCCGTGTGTCGTTGAACTAGATGTTTCGGTAGTTTCTTCTGGAGGTCGTGGTCTGCGTTGTCCGTTACGAATACGAGACGATGTTTTAACTGTGGTCATTTCAGTGTTATCCGTTGTCGTCTGTCTCTGTCTACTCGGCCTGATAGTGTGTATTTCTTTTTCGGTTGTTTTGGAAGTTTGCTCATTGTTTTCTGTACCGTTCCCAATCTTGTGTCTCGGGTCTTTAGGTGTAAATCTCTTCCTTTCTGTTGTGGTTTCACTTTCAATGTCAAAATAAGGCACTCTTCTCTGTGGAAATCGTACTTTAGGTGTATTTTCGACAGGTTTTTCTGTTGTGCTTGAGGTAGAACTTAATCTGTTCCTGTAATCTTTCACATTAAGTCTATTCCTGTGGAATTTGTTTCGAAGTCGTGGCCTTTGTGATCGTTCCGTTGTAGGTAACTCTGTACTTCTCGGAGTTGTAGTGTAGTCACTAGTTTCTTCCTTGTAAAAATCGGTTGTCGTTTCCTTATTCATATTCGTCACTGGTTCTAGTTTAGCTTCAATAGGTTTCACGTCTTTATGAAATGAAAAATCTTGTTCACTCTCCACCTGCGTTTTCAAAGAATCTGATAAACTTACAGCGACATCGCTTGTAGGTGTATCTTTTTCGTCTTGTTTATGAGTAAAGTCATTTCTAAAACCATAGGTCACCTTTGGTAAATTAGGACGACTAGTAATTTTCATTATTTGGGAGTCTTTATGTTCATCTTGAGTAATATTTAACGTGGTCGTTTCAGGCCTGACCGTAGAGGTGGGTATGGGTCGACGATGACCAAGTTTCTTTTTCAGTATGGTCGGTGTAGTTGGCGAGATTGTTGGTAAGGCACTGGTTGTTAAGTCAGTGGTGACGGTCGGTGTGGTCAAGTTTGGCTGTGACTTAGTTGTTCTGACTCTAGGTCTAATTGTGTAAACTTCCTCTGCGTTCGTGGTTAGTGCCGCCTCAGTAGTAGAGAACGTCGTAGTTACCCGAGGGGTGCTAGTTTCTTCTTTATTACGGTTAGCTAGTGGTGGACGGCGCCTCCTAATTTTGTTCCTCTTGCGATTCCTATCCTTATCGTTAATGTCTGACGCTGGGGTTGGGCGCTTGTAGTGTTGAGTAGTAGGTAATGTTGGCAGAGCCTCCACTTGCTGTTCTGTGTTGTTTTCTCTTATACGGTGAAACTGAGTCGTAATTTCTTGTGTAGAAGTATATTTAGCCGATTCAGTAGGCTTCGTTCGTTTTGACGTAACGTTATCGTCGTACACAGGTGTTGATACCCTGTAGTAATAGTCTTTAAGCTTGTCAATGCCGATGGGCTCGAAGTCATCGCCTAATGGCCGTCTACTTTGAGATTCGACTTGACCGTCGTAACTTAAAGAGTTGCCGTGGCCCTTCTCCGATTCGGTTACGATCGCAAATTCTTCAGGCAGGTCGGGAGTAAACGTAGTACCGGGCCTACTCAGGGTTTCGACAAACCCGTGTTTCTTCTCCGACTGTTCGGTGGTTTGCTGGTTATTGTATTCATATGTTATAGGCGTCACTGACCAAGGTGCTGGGGAGGATTGCGTACCATGTTCCGAATCAAAGGCTTCTGTAACCTCGTAGGCAGACTGGTAAGGGCTTTGAGCATTTTCTGAATTTGTTTTTACATGAGCAGGTTGTTGATTACCAGCTGTAATACTATCCTGAAGTAACTTTTTCTTTTCGTAGTTGAAGTTCGAATTATGTTGATCTTGATAAACTTGAGCCTGGGGACTTTGATATGAAGGGAAATTGTAGTTATAATAATTATTTGATAATGTGGTTGTCGGCACTACTGGGTTATACGTAGTTACGGATATTTTGTTTCGGTCGCTTTGGCGATTCTTATTCGAGAAAGGATCTTGTGGACTAGGTTTGAAACCATCCTTGAGGTCAGCATTAGGATCAATCTTCGGAGGAACATATTCCTTTGTTTGAGGAGTCGGCGTATTTTTCAGATCACTATGGGTTGTTCCGAAACTAAATTGATTCACAGTTGATGGCGTTCTTGGAGTAGTAGTATCGAATACGTTTGGGGTTGTCTTATATTTAGGAGTGTAGTTGAAAGAGTTGAATATTGTATGCTTCGTCTGCTGGGAGGGCCCATACGTAGTTGGAAATGGAAAAACGGGGTCTCTTGCTTTCACACTTTGTACTCCAAAAGTGCCAAACGTCCCTGAAATTTGGTAAAATTGTGTTAGATAAGATACATATTTTACGTTTTCATAATAATTCTAAAGAGATACCAGAGCTTACCTAATATGTTCGGTGGCAGACGACCATCTTGAAATGAATATTGATTGTAGGGATTGCCGATGTTTGACAACCCTGAAAAGCTATGTTGCTGCGCTGTTTTCACTTGTTGATTGATGAACTGGGGCGCTGCATCATTATCGAGTTTGAAAACTTCTGGTTTGAAGGTTTCAATATTGCTTGATTGAGTCATCTTTCCGTCATTAGGTCTAGCATAAGTTTCAATTGGTTTACCAAATATGTCTAACGGCTTAACCGACTGGTATTGTCCGAACTGGATTGGCTGGATATTAGTCAATTGTTGTAACATAGCATTCTGGAGATTGTTGTTTTGATTGAGTTTATTTTGATATTTAGTATATATATTACGGTCAGCATAAGTATTATAAGGGTTTCTGATTACCATGCTTTGAGATGGGTAATTCTGAACGAACCTGTAGTTGGCGTAGGCATTGTTTTGTAATGTAAAAGGATTATAATAAGAGTTAATAGGTTGGTTGGCGACAGGTACTGCTGGTGCAGATGATGCAGTCCTAAGGGTAGTTGGACGGTATGATTGCGCAATGGATGTCAGTTTGTTCGAGTCCTTGGCGAGGACTGGCCGCGACGAAGACTGATATATATCCAGAACTGGGATAGGTATCTTATAAGCTTGTGAATGCAGTTGTGAAGGGCCGAATGATCCGTAAAAAAGTCCACTGGATCCAACAACTGGTCTCCAACCACCTTTGGAAATGGGTTGTACCTGCAACAAATGTAAGTATATGGTGGTTATTTATTTATTTACTTTCGCAAACTTAATTTTATATACATAATTAGAACATGTATAAAATGAAAACTGCTTTCGATTAGTAAGATAAAAATGATAACAGGATTAGAACTCAGTGCATCTCATCACATTAAAATGAGTGAATTCAGTAAAATGTCCAGTAGCACTTGTAAGGTCCTCAAAGTCCGGTATTCTGATAAAACTTTCGTTCGGCGAACAATTAGTTTTTAATGTTACAACTGGAGCTGGGCAAAAGACAGATCAGTGAGACAACATATCAATGTAATAGCAGCAATACGAAAATATAAATTTGAATTCGTCATTTGTAACAATTCTGAGAATGAGTGATTTAGATATTGCATGTAATTTTGTCAATAAAAATAATTTGTATGTACTTATTTATTTAAAATTAAACCCATCGTCAGAACAGGATTTTGATTAAAATAGGAATAATCTCTTTGCATATAAATCTCTGTGCAATGGGAGAGGCCTATGGCCAGCAGTGGACTGCCATAGGCTGATGATGATGATATAAATCTAAAAAAATATCGATACGGTTCATAAACAACAGAGTTTATTCAGACGGACATAAAAGAAACAAGCATTGAATAAACATTAATGCTCCTCGTTTCTTAAAATAGGTTGAAACGTAAGCTGTCATGGCTATGGAAGCGTATTGTTAAATTATAAAACACTGAAATTTTCGAAACAGTTGAAATCCTTTCAATAGAATACAAGTTCTATAAGTTACTAGTGTTAGTGCTTGACAAAACCAATAAAGGGTTTATATTAGTCATTTTTAAGGTAAGTTAGGTAGTTAAAAACCCACCATTTGGGTTTTTTTTGGGCTTAAACCCGTTTCTTCCTTAAAAAAACCCCATTTCAACCCAATGTGTTTAAACCCTCAGCCCATGTATAGTTACAACTGAATTGTTTTAAGGAATACTTACGCCTTGCGTGCCCATAGAGCGACGATGGTGGTGACTTCCGCAATTGACGGAGAGGAGGAGAGTTTGTAGCGTCACTGCAATGACCCATAGCCGCATATCTGTAACAGAGACGTTATTTTTATGGAATCGATCAAATGATTTTTTGAGAAGTTCCGTAATGTTTTTTCAATAAAATTTTCACCTTACGCCCATGTTACGGTGGCGAAACTTATTTTGACTAAGGTGTAAGAAATTGTAAGAATGATGAGGAATGATTGAATGACTGAGATGTAAGAAAGAAGTATAAATAACCATAAATAATGATGAATGTTCGTGGCACGCAGCACAAGCGAGTGCCAACTAGACACAAGGTTGACCACTGTTTGCGTGCTTAGATTTGCAAAGTAGCTATGTCCTTAATAATGTCTCAACTGACTCAAAAAGGAGAAGAGTTCTGAATTCGACCATTTTATTATAAATAAAAAACAAGTGAATGTGTCAATTTTATATACGGCTATCTGAATCAAAACTACATTGAGCCTTAATTATAAATTTCTAAAAACATATAACTATTGGTATACTACACCCATACACAGAAAAAATGATCAGGTTCATAACACAATATTCGTCGTAAGTTCAGCAGTGGACGATTAAAGACTGTTGATGATGCCGACACAATTAAAATTATTATTTATTTATTTGTTATTGGTTTACCAGCAATTATTACAGTAAAACATTCGTACAAAATAGAACATAGTATTACTTAATCTTAGTGTACAACTTATGTAGGCAAAAACTACATGCATATAATCAAATATAGTTTAGAAAATAACTACCTATTGACAAATGTTGTCAAAATAGAGAGGAAACAACACAATAACAAACAATACAATACCTAAAACTTAGTATCTATCTCTAAATAGGACAGCAATTAGTACCCGGTTAATCGACTCGGCTCGTAAATAGATGAAATGTAGTGTTATTAACCAAACCACAATAATGAAACGTGAAAGCATCAGCAAATTATAAACTGATTCTATAATTTACTTGTTATTTTTGGTTAGTCTGACCGATCACCATCACACTTGTTTTCGGAATTCAAACTGTTATTGTAACTAACAGCAAGTCAGCAGTGATCTTACGTTTAATTTTCTTTTTATTTGTTTGAAAGTAGAACGATATACTTATGTTTGTGGATAACCGGATAACGGCTGGTTTTCACATGTTATTAAAACAGAATTAGAATCACGTCGCTTAGAAAAACCATTGATCTCAAAGAGCGCAATAATGAGTAAGCGATGACGGAGCGTTATACGCGCGTTGTCGACGTCTGCGATTTGAACGCATCTCTTAAAACGCCCATTCAACGCCGCGTATCTGAACACACCTAAATCTATCTTGTCTATAACATGACAACAGCTTCATAGCAAAGAAGATTCCCATTTGTGTAGGTCACGGCATTTTTTTGGTAATATATATTTAATAATAGGTATTACTGTCAGGTTCAAACTTTCTACTAATTCCTTACCGGCAGTATGTTGCCAAGAATTTTGGTGTGTCATTGTGACAATTACAGACACTTTTCTTGGCAGGTTTGTAACTTGTGGGAAAGTATACCTACTTATAAGAAATGGATACACACTCAAGTGTTTTAGTGAATTATAAAATTACTATAAGTATGATTTTTCTCGTACAAATTGTAAAATAATCGTAAACAAATAAATGAAAATGAAAAAAAAGGAACAATATATTTTCCCATTGTTTCCTTTTTATTAGATTCTGGATATTATAGGTTCATCGACTTAGTTAAGCATAGCCTTGTGATATTATGAAACTGTAAGTAGGTATATATTTATCGACAATAGCTACTCAAATCACGTGCAGAGAAAAGTGAATATTACAGCTGATTCATTGCCGATGGCCCATTACACAAGGGACTGTTTAAACAATCGTTAGACTTTTATCATACGTGTTAAGATTACTGAAATAGGTGCGTGGAAAACCAGTAGAAAGGCTTCTAGTAATTGTATGTGTGCGGTATCACTTTCCATTGCTCGCGTGCTACTCCGGGGTTTTCATTCAGCAAGGCACGTACTCGTTTCTATCATAATTTGTAATGTGGTCACTTGTTAATGCTCCAGATTTGGAGAATGGTGTTCCCTACATGCATTTTTGCGTTTGAACGACTTGAGGGTTATGCAATGATTGCCCAAGACATGTATTAATATTGTTTTCTGTGAATCGTTCGATTCTGGTACCTATTGTGCATTTCACATGACTGCTCTCCTTCGGGAGAGGCTTCTAAGGGAAAGTGATATATGTGGGTCACTCTAAATAAAATTGCGGCACATGTAAAGCAACTTCTAATTGTATATTTAATAAGGTTTACACGAGCTTCCAGATCATTACATGGTAGAAGGTAAAATTTTAAAACCTTTCTCCTGTATTAGATATGTTAGTTTCTTATACAATTCTAACTAAAGCTAAAAGATACTCGCCTCGTTGTCAGTCGGCTAAGGTCATAGTATTATGACTGCGTTTATTTTCACATGATGTTGCGAAGTATGATAACAAAAAAAGTTGTCCTGGTTGGAAACCAATAAATATATTAAATTCATAATTTGCAAATCATGTATGAGGAATATAAAATATTGTATTAGAAATATTTCTAAATATGTTCGAAGCTGTAATTGCTCGAATGCTTGTAATTTTTTGTATACCATATGATATTGCAAAATGTACATGATACTGTGGAGATAAAGACTACGGAACATTACAATAGATAGCCTTATTGCTGCAAACAATTTCTAACTGGCGACCGTTGGATAGAAACGTTTTTTAATACAATGAGGATATAATCTAAAATAGTAATTGTTACTTTCGTTGAAGTGAAACTGTTAGTGTTAATCATGGAGTGAAATTTAGTTAAATCTGTCAAGTCAAAGTTAAACTTCCTACATTAACCTACACTGCACGTGGTAAACTTCATACACACGATTCATACACAAATTTACATTAAACAACTCTCATAACTATTTAAAAAAAAAACAATTTAAAGAAGAATAGTTAATGAAATGGATATTGTAATTCTACATAATATAAACCAGTTTTAGAGCCTGTGCAGACGAGGAACTTTTGTCTGCATAGGACTCTTCTTTTTTGTTCGGGAGACTTTTTTTTCACTGTAATTTTTAATCTGTTCAGTCCATCATTTAAGACAGTTGTAAGGGATCTATTTTGAAGTATGAAAAAAAAGGTACGCCGGGATTGTACCTCGCCTATGCAGGCCCTTCGTTAGTTGACTAATACTTATATAATTTGAAGTCTGACAAAGCACTCAGAAATGACCGCATAGTGTTTTATGAATACTATTCATAAACGAAAATCCACTGATAAAAGGTAATTGCGGAGTTAATTTTATTTATACTCTGTTTTGTAAAACCTTAAGATGTGAACAACTAAGTATTGACCTTAATTAATCGCGATAGACAGAGAAGACAAACATGACCTTCCTTTTTCTCTTCTTTTATTTCAAGACCCTTTATCCAAAGAGTTTTCTTACTAAGTGAAGCAGGCAGTAATAGGATTGCTTCCTGATAGACAAGTGGTACTAAAATTATAGTCAGCAAAATGTCGACGCTTTAATACGTCTTTGATCACCCCTTCGGGGATAATGACTTGATTGTATGTATAACGCGTATTTGGCAGGCCCAAAGTAGTCATGCGCAATCTTTGTAAATAGCAAATTTTGACCATGGGGTCAGCATTCGTTGATCATCGGCAATGATTTATTACCTACGCATAGTGGTGCCTTAATGGATAAAATGGTTTTAAAGCTTTTCTCTTTCACTTAGTTGAATATTGTTTGTGAATATAGCATCAGGAAACTGATCAACAGCAATTTATTCAATGACTGAATACAATTTCAACTAAATATAATATTACAACATAAACATTAGCCCATAAAGGCTTCATGTAATAAGGAAAATTTATAGTTGAACATAAATGGAAATGTCGTATACAATTGTTTTATTATGCATTTAATGTATCTGTTTATTGTTGCGGGTATAAACAGTGAAAGTGGTTAAATGTCTCCTAGTCATAACGCAACATAACACTGTGCCTTATGTAAGTAGAAATTTTTTATTATTATTTTTTTCTAAATGTTTAGTAATATAAATGTAGAGAAACTGACAGAGTTTAGAACGAAGGCCACTTTAATTTAATTCTTCGCATTTAATAATTTTGTGACGCTAAAAAGACATTAGTTATGAAATAAGAGAAGATTTTATTATGATTCTAGACAGTTCCTGCTGAAATATTATCAAAAAATTATTAAACGAAACAAAAACCCGACAGCCGGCGACATCAGTTACTAATATAAGTAAAATCCTTAATTTTTTTAGCTAACAGCAAAATATTAATATATAAAACAAGAAGGTTTCCTTTGGATGTCAAAAATTTAGTAAAGTTTCAAGATACCAAACGTTTTATAATTTAAATACACTAGTGACATTCGCGGAATATGTAAAAAATATACGTGTTTATTACGTGTGTATTACGATATAATATACGTGTGTATTTGCATTTATCAGAATTGACTTAGCTATTTAGAAGGAAGTGAAAACAAACATACACAACAACATTTTTTTTTGGTTTAGCCCGGTAAAAAAGAACGACGGAAATTGGCGTCAATTATTAGAAATATGTAGAGGTAGAAAGTGACCGATGAAAATAAAAAAATAGTTTTTGAAGCCGTGACAGTAGGATAGGGCGTGGGAAGCTTTACTGTGGGGATACTAAAAACTTAATTTTAGTAGAGTAGTAGTAGTAGATGTTTAGTATTTTCATGATTAAGTTTTTCCACACTTTATTTTAAAAAGAAGTCGCTCTGAATATCCTTATAGCTTGCATAAATTTTAAAGGGACTTCCGACGACAATTTTAAAATGATAGACTCCTTACAAAAAAAGTTATGCATACCTGACCTGAAATAGAGTACGTCATACTTAGGTAACATAATATAATGTCTCTATTATGTCTTGTTATCTCCTAGGTCTTCGTGGTATTTTATTACAATCTAAAATTGTGTGAACAATGGCTATGACTGCATCTGTGGTTCCTACCCGTAACGAACAAGATAATACTTATATTCAGTAGGTACTTTTCTTATCTTGAATGTATGAATCGAAAAGTGAAGTCCCATTTTTAATATGGGACTTTTATCCTGCAACCTGAAGGCCAATTCTCTTAATAAACGTTCGGTCACAATTCAGTGCCGATCAACTTTCGACCTCGTCAATATAGTCTATCATAAAAGGTATTTTCGTAGTAAAATCGTAAAGTATTGCTAAGACTAGACTGTACGGCTGGCGTAGCTTCCTATTACGCTGAGTGTTGTGGGTTCGATCCTCACATGGGACGAAACTTTCTATGATCCAGAACTTGACGTTCTGATTAAGGTGTTATTTGTGTCCGTTTTCATGTATGTTTGTAAAGCCCCCAGCGATATATTCCTAGTGCGGGAGTTGTCTTTTTAACAAAAAAAAACTAGCAGATTACAGATTAAATTTACGGTTACATTATGATATAATCACATTACATTACAGTTAATACTTACTGCGCAAGGTTTTTCGATAAGACCTCCGATTGTTACGTCCACATATTTGTAACTAATCTTTATTTATGTGTTAACAGTATACAATAAAGATGTAAATAAATTTGTTTAAAAGTAGGTAAAAAAAATATTTGATGTATTGCGTCATATGTAAACGGGCCGTTTGATGTTGTAATAAAACAAATTTAACGTTCCACAATTGTAATTTGTGGACCCTGACTATTTTTTTTAATGTCTTGATATTCGTAAGAGCCTACATAACCTCACGGCCTACATTATTATTATAATATTTATATAATATAAGGAGAAGGCTGACATTACGTACTTAATTTATTTATTATTAAGGATAATTAATGAAATTCTGCTCTTTCTAATATCTATTTGTAAAAGCGGTAACCGTTAATGATCAAAATGATAAAATTCGCCTTATTGGTGCAGTGGTTTGCGATCCTGACTTAGCAGTCGTCAGCCAGAGGTCGTGGAATCGATACCAACCCAGGAACAATGTTTTGTGATGAGCACGATCATTTGTTCTGTGTTTGGGTATAGTTTATTTACGAGTATAATATATAGATATGTATTAAGAAATATATAAGCATGTTTATCAGGCTGGTTTCGATTGTACAGGCTCACTGTAGTTTGGGATTAACATTTATTAAAAACATCCTTAATATCAAAAAGTTCTGTTGTCAATAAATAATCAATAATCAAGTAAAGGTTGTTCATTACAGAAGTGATGAGAACTGAAAACGTATTCAGTTCCGAAGGTTCTTAAATGTTATGTAATATATATTGATAAAACAATACCGGAAGGAATGTTGTGACATTCCAACACATAGAGGGCAGTAAAACATGAATAATAATTTAATCTACCTAATTACTTCATAATAACACATATTTTTTTAATTGCTAATTAATCCCTCTTATAATTAACTTTCAAAAAACT